AGTAAGCAGTGAGATTTTCTGCAGCAAGATTGTTGCAGAAAAGTTGAATGAGGAGTTGAAAGCTCTTAGTGGATAGTTGTAAATGTGGATATTGTCAAGATGGATGGAGGCGAGCTAAACCACGTCACCATTCAAATATCCCATATGTTTTTACAAGCTAATGCAAACTATTTGATTTCTTCTTTCTCGCTTCTAGGTCTTGCGGAACGGGTGCCAGGTCTTGGTGGATTCCAATGCAGTAGGTCTACCCACTCGTCTGCTGTGGCTCTGGTTAGCCCGACGAGTGGTTGGGTGTTGGTTAAATTTGTAAGGAGTGTTGTTTGTTTGTTTGCTTTTTATTCCTAGGGCTGTGGCACAGATGGGTTCCTTAAATATCGTGCCAGCAGACAACTGTTCGGACTGGTAGTAAAAAGGGGATGAAAAATATTTGCAGAGAAATCAAGGGGGAGAAAGTGCAAAGAAAAACAAGTAGAAAAAGAAACAAAGAAACGTAATACGAAAACAACGATTATGAAAACCGAATCGTGAAGTCGGTGAAGAGAGGGGTAAATACCATTATAGGGCGAATGGGAATAGAGGCGAAGAATCTATTAGTAGGAGACGGCAACTGGAGGGGACGTCTGTAGGGAAGTATAAGATTGAGCCGGGTTCCCAGTGATAGTGATGCTGCAAAGCATTCGATAATGGGTTGGCCGTGCTGAGTTAGTAAGTCGTATCAGCCTAGTCCACATCTCAGTCGGCTGAGCGCAAACCGTGCATCGTTGCGTAACTGTCCAACCTCTTGAAGCTGTCAACAGACGGAGCAGTAGCAACCTCGGCAGGCAATGCTTTCCAGTGGCCGCAAACTCGCAGAGAGAATAGGTATGACCGCACACGGATTTTCGCTCTTTGATGAGCGATTCTCCTTGGGTTACCACGAGGATCACCGCAGTGGCCGCTTGGTAGGATTCCACTGTTCGAATGACTTGGGTTACTGAGTATTTTGTAAGCCGTTAGCAAGTCACCAAGTAATCTGCGGTAGCTTAGAGAGAAGAGCCCCAGATCTTTCAGCCTGTCCTGATACGGTTTTTGCCTCATTCCTACGACACCCTTTGTAGCCGGCCTTTGGACTTTCTCTAGGAGGTTCACCTCTCTTTTCAGATATGGTGGTGCAATGACGTTGTGGACCTCTAGGTGTGGTCATATTTACTTCCTATACACCTTCAAAGTTTTTCATATTTCTGCTTGCTTTGTTTTAGTATTTAACCAAGCTGCTGTTAGTATCCGTCATCCTTTTGAAATTCTTGTGTTTGTCAGGACCTGCTAGCATATATCAACATTTTCGTTAAATGTGCTGGAAATATGATGGTTGTTTGAACGGGTAAGAATGTAATGAAAACTATTTATGGAAAGATAAGTGTAACTGGCAATAATATGGAGAAGTGGGGAATTTTTTGTAGATACTAGGTTTGGGGAATACAGGGATGGAGAGGTGTATCATCAGTTGCTACCGACAAATGTTCGAGGGTAAACAATTTGCGCCCAAACACTCATTTAGTAGTCATTTGAAGGAGTCAACTGACTTAGCTGTGGCCATTACCTTCGGCAGACAGTTTCACAAGGCACATACTGTGTGGGAGAAGAGGTCAGATCTCACCCTCATCTTTGCCCCTTGGGAGCGTATGTGAGTGGGGTTCCCACGGGACTGCCGGTTTGGGATTGATAACGTTGTTCTATTTGGGTGGTCCACTTGGTGATCAATCTTGTAGGCTGTTATCTGATCACCTCGCTTCTTTCGATAGCTTAGTGTGAACAAGTTGAGTTGTCTGAGGCGTTGCGCGTATGGTTTGCCTGTTGGTCCAGCAACCGACTTTGTCGCTCCTCTCTGCACCTTCTCGAGAGTATTTGAGTCTCTCTTTAGTAGTGAGGTGCTATCGTGTTGAACACCTCTAGGTGTGGTTTTACATAGGTTTTAAATACCATAAGGGATAATTCTGTAGTCAACGATCCAGGCGCATGATGAGACTCTCCTTGTCACCATCCCCTTACGGTTGTCAGCAGTAGTGTGTCAGAAAAGTTTAGCCCTAGGTCCCTTTCTATAGATACCTTGGTGATTGTACATTTGTTAGGAGTGTGTCCGGTTTTTATTGCCTCTGGTATGCAAAGATACATCACCTTGCATTTCTTCGGGCTAAAGCTCAAACCGTTGACAGCTGACCAGGACTCCAGCTGCAGCTGGTCGTCCTGGAGTACCCTCTGGTCCCTCTTGCGACCTATCATCCTCCACATTTTGATGTCGCCGGTAAACAGGAGGGCAGATGAGGAAGCTTTAATAGGGAGGTCATTTATGGATAGCATAAACAGGAGTGGCCCGAGGATCGCTTCTTGAGAAACTCCTGTTCTTGCACTCTTCCGCGTTGATCAAATTCTGTTTACTTTAGTGCAGAATTCTATATCTTCTAGGTAAACCATGCCAAGATTGGTTCAGTGACACCCACCTTTGCAAGTCTGGCGAGCACGGTGCAGCGTGGAACGCTATAGAAAGCTTTGGCCAAGTCCAAGAGGACAGAGTGAACTGGTTGTTTGTTTCCCATCGAGCGGTCATCACGTTTGCCGCGCATGACCGTCCGGTGTTGAAATCATGTTGGGTGGGACGGGCGATGTTGTTTCTGTTAAGGTAGTCCCAAAAAACATCCGTGACCACGCCTTCAAGTACCTTGGGGAGTTTGGGAGTTGACTTACTTCCAACTTACTTCGAACAAGCGATACGTTTGAAGTTGTGTTACGTTTTAACGTGATTTCGTAACTGTATCATAACTCTGTTATTAACGTCATCGTAAAGCTATTGAATTCTCAAATGACAAATCACATACCAGACATGCAACTAGATATGGCTAATGCATGTAAAAAGAAAATCGACAAGCCAAGAAGCATGCCATAAAAGGTTCGAACGGAGAAAACCTCTCTGGACAGAAGATTGCTGAAATGCTGAGCACCACATTTGATACACAGGTCAACATTCCATCAAGAAAGTGCGCATACCAATTGCACGAACAGCTCCCAACGTTACCTGATGCTACTGAGTTACGCGAAATACAGATAACTCGCGCTGTTGTTCTCGACAAGCTTTTAAAATTAAGCGCGGGAAAATCCCCAGGATGCGACGACATTCGCCCATCTGTGTTGGAAGAATGTGCAGGCACCCTAAGTGGCCCACTCTGCAACCTCTTCTAACACTCGTTGGATGAGCGAAAGCTCTCACGGGGTGGAAACGGGCTATCCTTTCTCCCATCTTCAAAGGAGGAGACAAACAGAATCCCGACTGTTGTAGACCCATAGCACTTCTACCAGTAATATCAAAAGTGATGGAAATTGTGATGGAAGACCGTATCAGGGAATATCTGGACACCAAGCGGGCACCCAGTGACGCTCAACATGGCTTCCGGAAGGGTAAGTCCCATGCCTCCAACCTCCTGACGGCCCATGATCACTGGACAGCATGCTGGGATCTCAAGGCCCCGGTCCAAGTAATTTTTCTAGACTTCGCCAAAACCTCTGGCACTGTCTCACACCATATCCTAATACATAAGATAGCTGGGTTAGGTATTCGCAGCCAGGTGCTATCGTGGCTGCAGAACTACTTAGACAACAGAGAGTTCTGCACGAAAGTCAACAGGGTTTACTCAACTTGGAGAGCATCCTCATCCGGTGTCTCACAAGGAGTAATCTTGGGCCCACTGTTGTTCCTACTGTTCGTAAATGACTTGCCGCAGCATATCGGCTCCCCGATTCTCCTATACGCTGATGATGTCAAGTTATGGAGGGCAATAACTCGCAAGGCGGGATCTATGGCATTACAGAAGGACCTCAGAACACTAGAGGAATGGGGAACTAATAACCAACTGGCATTTAATCTGGATAAGTGCCGGTCCATGTTTTTCCACACTTCTGATCCCCAGAAAACATCCTACTATCTCTGTGCTTCACGTCTATCCCATACCACAGTAGAAAAAGGCCTGGATCCAACAGTGACGGAGAAACTGGACACCAGTTCCAATTACCCAGGTGATGTCTCAAAAGCATATGGGATACTACACTTTGTGCGCAGACAACTGGGTGCCCTCACCCCAGAACTCTTTCTGAAGCTCTACAAGACTTACATACGGCCCCGTTTAGAGGTCCATGACGTCTTCGCTCCACCACAGCTGAAAAGAGGCGCGAACTTTCTGGAGAAAGCCCAGAGGCGAGCCACAAAAGGGGTAGTTGGAATGCAACGAAAACCATGTGAGGATAGACTCAAAGACCTAGGTCTATGCTCCCTTAGCTATCGAAGGATACGTGGCGACTTAATAATGGCTTGCAAAATAATGAGTAACCCAAGTCACCCAAACAGAGGAGTCCGACCGAGTGGCCACTACGGAGATCCTCGAGGAAACCCTAATAGAATAGCCCACCAAAGGTCAAAAACGCATATACGTTCACAGATCTTCTCCCTCCGAGTCTGTGGGTACTGGAACGCACTACCAGCAGAGGTGGTCTCCGCCCCAACTGCTGAAAGCTTCAAGAAGAGGCTAGATAGTCATGCAGAGACTCACGGTCCACGCACGCATAGCTGGAACACGAAGTGATGTCTAGCCACCCCAACCAGGCTTCTTCCTATTGTAACCATCTAAGCCATTTTCCCCCCTTCCACCTGCCATAAGTTAGCCTCACTTACCAAAGTTCTTCATACATTTGCACCCCTACTCACCTTAATTGGGTGTAAGCAGATCACTTCATTAGTTCACTTTTCCTCTTTTCTTTTACTCACACTAACACTTTCGAGGTTTTCTCTTCAGTATCCACAACCATCCATTGCGATCAGTCCCAACAAATGTCTGGCAACTTGACAACTGAAAAAGCCAACTGCACCACAGTCCAAGGCAAACAAACCAACACTGAACTTCCTGTACTGTAAATCAGAGCTATAGCAGACGAGTGGCTGGACCTATTGCATCGGAATCCGCCAAAGATCCGAAGCTGTTCTGCAAGACCAAGAAGCGAGTGCGAAGAAATCAACTGGTTTACACAAGCTCGTTAAAAAGATATTGGATGCTGTAGAAACAGGAGGGAATTTTTGAAGTCTAGGTTATCCGTTTAGTTACTGCCTGCCCAAAGGTTGTTTTGTATGTGGGGAAGGTTGTATTCATTAATATCCTAATTTTGCTTTAATATCTGTTGAGGCGAAAATTTTATCATGTATAGTTGCAGTCTACGTATTTCTTACATCGGCTCGTTGTATTTGTCGTGATGCAAATGTCGCAATTGCTGTCGACTCACCTAGTAAAATACACTACCTTCTATAATCAGTCACTCAGAAGATGCAATAAACTCATCGTCAGCCATTGAAACAGTGGAATCATCTGACTCAGTTTCTGTCTTAATGAAAGTTGAATAACTTGAGTTAGTTGGAAGCTTTAGAAAACTTGGAAAAATTCCAGGCTTATGCTATATTAATGATGCATTATCAAACCACAGGTGAACTTGAGATATGCATCAAAAACAACCTTATGTTCCATGTGGACTGGGACCGTAGGTATAGGTATATGTGTTTCTGTCATATTTTCAGGTAAGATTTTGCATGGTTTGCTCCATTTTGTGGTCCTTGGTGTTCAAAATGGGGAACTACTTAGGAGCAGATTCAGGAGTTTGATTTCAAAGGCTAGGATTTGGCCTTCAAGATTCTAGAAATCAGAATGCGGTCATGTTTAGAAAATCTGCAAGCAACTACTAGCACTAATGCTAAAAAAACTTCTGACTGATCTTATTATTTTCGAACTTAACAGGGAATGTCACCTATTTAATTAAATTTTAAGGTTTAGGGGTTATTATTAGAGTCAGGCTGTCATTATGGGGCACGTATTAATACTACATCACAGCCTAATATGGGCTTCTCATTTCTTATTCCTTTGGCATAGAGATAATACAAACACTTAGAACTTTCAGAGTTGGTAATTAGGGTTAACTGTTCATAGGAGATGCATTTGAACTAAATGAGTTTTAAATATCACTAAGGAAGTTTCTGAGAAAACGATCTGTTTCTCAAGTCCGCTAAATGAGTCACTCAGGAGCAGTAGGAATCTGAAGTCCCATTGGGGTTAGATACAGTTTATGAGATTGAGATGCAAGTGTCCTATATGCCCTACAAGCTCGCATAAATCAGATGGCTTCCTCAATTGGTTGTCTTTTCGGAACTCTTCCATTTATTTAGTGGGTTCCGATGTATTTGACCCACTTACTTGCCTGCTGTGGTTATAAATCGGACGGGTGATTGGGTATTAGTTAAACTTTACAGATGTTTTGCTTGTGCTTCAGCTGTGCCGTCGCTTAGGTTTTCGAGTATTTTTCTGAAAACGTGTGCAAAGACCTTAGAAATAACTATGAAAGTCTTATTGGAAAGAGAATTCTGAAGAACAAGGAACGGGAAGAATGATAGCAGCGATAAAAATGGCTGTTACCTCATTGTGATGGTTGAGCTTGGATAGGAGTTATCCAGTGAGCTATACTGGTGCGAATATTTGTTACTCTGGTACTTCCCCGATAGACCCCATCTGTAAAACGGTAAGACGAAAAGCAGTTTCCGCTATAGTGTAAATAGCTGCGCTATGAAAGATTTGAGGGCTATATCGTTGTTCTGGCTAGATGGAGGTGGGGTGACGGCTGTAACGTGTTTGCTGCAGATGACCAGCAGTTCATACTGATTTCGCCTTCTCTATGAAAAAAAGTTCCAGTGAAAATCAACAAGGGGTCTGCATTACTGCCTAACAGTTCAAGTTAACACACCTCATAGCACATTAAGCGAAAATACACCAACATGGAAGATGAAATCAGGAAGGGAGTAGTCAAGAGGGGTAGAAATAACAACGTAGGCTGAGACAGTAATCAAATTCCTTTTGATGCACAAAATAAAGGTAATGTATGGATGTGTCTGCGCTATTGTGATCGATTTCGAACTACAGTGGAGTTGTGGCGCATTGGATTAAGGAGTTGGCTTTCAACCAATGGGTCGGGGGTTTGAACACCGCTCCAACTACTGAGATTTGGGCAGCCTGGTAGTCTCACTAGCCCTCAAACAATGAGTGTAACCCTGCACGAATGTCCACAAGATTGCTGAGTGCATTTCGATTTCGATTCGACACTTGTCAAAATGGCTCAGACCGACAGTCCGACTTCATAGAATGGTGCTATATTTTCATCTAACTGCCTCTAACCCTTTTTCAGCCCAAACCTACACCAGTTGCCATAGTGTAGCAAGGCAGTGGTGACTAGGTATGCATATCGATTCGAGTCGGCACCCAACACATGTAACAGGAATGACGCGACATCTGACGCAACTATTTTGTAACTACGCATACTGTATAAGCTGACCACTAACGTTAGGATCCTGACACAGATCGAGTGAGCTAGGTTCGGGTAGGACTATGGGAAGTCTTGTTGACGCATGCTGTACCTCAGAGACCCACAAATAAGATCTCAGGGAAGTGCTTCGAATAACTTCCCCATCTATCAACTCAAAAGTGAATTCATAATGCTGTTATGCGGCGGTCTTATAACACCGATATCTGACCTTTCTGGTGTTCGTGTTTCGCCAAGTGATAAAATTGGGGTGTACTAGCCGACTGGATTCCCATTCACAGCCATCTGTGTGCTTTTAGACTTTTGGTTGAAGTGAGAAGTGACTAGCTAGGAAAACAATGTATTTTCGCCATCTCTACCTATGTGCTGATTGACTACAGCCCTGATGCAGTTAACAATGATTTTCACCATCAGTTGAGTAATCGTCTTTTCTAGGTGCGCTTGGTAGGTATTGTGGTGCTAACTGGGGACTTGAATGCATAGGTTACACGCCTGCAGCTTTGCACAGAAGATAAATTGTTTTTACCCATCACCACCTTTGGATAAAGTCATCGTCTTTGTGTTGACTGACGTCCTTCCACTGCCGCCCAAGCTGGAACTCATACATTTAAATCAGCTACCATTGACGTGGGCATATTTAGGACTACCAGTCCCTCTGAAGCACCTGTCAGGACTGTGATAAGACAGGCTATTCAGATGGTACTTAATCAGTTGGTGGTTAGTATCCGTAAGTATGCTATATGCTTTGCACTATCGAAGTGCAAAGTGCTTTGACAAGATTGGCAGAAACCCATGTCTGCACCCATCCTTGGTGGTAGTTGAAAAGTTCATGTATCTCGGCAGTTGTTTGATTGCTAGTAAAGGTGTGTAATGAGACTTCTAACCGGATATCGAAAGCCTGAGTAACATACGCCAATCTGAGCCACCTTTTAGGCCGTCGCAACGTTAGTCTGACCTTAGAAGGTCGGACTTCGGTGCGGGCAGTTCTACTCTACACTTATGAAACCTGGCCTCAGAGCTTAAAATGTGTGACTTCAGTGTATTCGATCATCGTTGTCTCCGTAGGATGTCTCGCATCCGGTGGTAACACTATGTATGTAATTGAGGTGTGACAGCGTGTTTGGGCATGATTTAGATGGTCATTCAAAAAGTGAAGTCATCTAAAAACACGGGGTTAGGTGGCTTAGACATGTGTTACGCATATCGTCCCAACAGCTTCCTTACCGTCCATTGTTTGCTAGCCCTGGGATTGGATGGAAGGAGTGGAGGGGTGGTCGGTGTATAACGTAGCACCGTGGGATGGAGGATAAGTTCTATCGTGTTAGCATCTGTTGGTGCATCACAACTCATTAGGTGGGGCCCGAGAAATCACACAACTCAGTGGCTTAAGACGCTTTCAGATATGGCTCAGAAATGAAACCAGTGGCGGTCATTCTAAAGGTTCCTTCTATCTTCTGCTGCTGAAAAGCAATGAATGTTTTGTTTTGAATGTATTTTATCAGACTACCTCTCTGATCATTCTGGTCCTATTGTTTTTTCTTTTTATTTATCCACTTTATATCTTTATAATGTTTTTATATTAGTTTGTGTGATACATTTCTTGGTGCCCTTGCTGTACTATGTTTGCGTTGTGATAGTAAACGATTATGATACGATTAAGATCACACTTTGGTGCGTAATAAGTTCATCTTGTATTTATATGGTCATCGTCGTTCGAAACTCCTCGACGTAAGGAAGTTGGTTACTTTTAGCGTCACAAATAACCAACCGGGTTAGATTCAGGGCTAGCTGTCACACCTCAGGAAAGCATAAATAAACATTGGCTGTACCTAAAAGACTAAAAAAATGTCAAGTAGGGTGGCTTGCAGCTTAAAGTTACCTTCCGCTAATAAAACCCTGGGTACCTGCCACGTTCATGCAAATTTTTGATGCTTGTCGGTGCATTCCGACGGGCAGCGAGCACGATAGCATGCGCATTTCCCTCACATGGTATCACGCGGCGGTCACATAAAGACTACGAAGCTTCAAAGTCAGAACGTATAAGTGAAATGGAAAAAGCGGCTGCATGTGACAATAGTCAGAAGTTGTTCCATTTCATCTAGGCTGCTGGCGGCAAGAAACCTGATCCCACTGTATAACCTAGCACCGTAAAATGAAAGATATCTGTATTGGATCAGCATCCATTGGTACCTCATGACTCCTTGAGTGAAAACTTCGTCAGGTAAATGAGGCTTACCATACTGAGGCACTCAATGTTGCACTTTAAAGTGGCTTATCTGGAGTTATCATTGAATACAAGCAATTTTATACAGATAGCAATGGTCTTACACTGAAAGTTGTCAACATACCACTACCACCACCACTCGATACTCTAAACTCAAGCATCTCTAACTGGCTTACGGATCATCACGGTCACTTTAAGCTTAAACTTAGTGGCGCAGACATTCAGCCTCCAACCAACACACAGTGGGTTAGGACTTGGTTCTACCTAGCGAATTATGAAGTCAGTGGTTATTATCAGCAAATACTTGTACTATAGTCCGATTTCTTTAGAACTGTAACGTCCAATTTCGTACACGTCATCATCACTCATAGGACAAGAAGTTCTATTATTTCAGTAGAAAATTGTGTTAGGGCATCAGTATGTCAAACCCATAAACACATTGTAAGGAATACTGCTGGTTAGTTAGTGATGAAAACATGAACATCCCTTGAATACAGTAGGCCTGTTTTTTAATTATATTGGGCTGCAGCCCACTCCGTCCTCTTATAAGGCTGTGCAACATGGTCGTTGAAAGTAGAAGGTATAAAGAGATCACAGGATTTCGATCACAAGTATCTTCGTAGCATTCTACACGTTTGGTGGAATCACCGTGTTAGCAATACCGGGGTAAGACAAAAAGTACTAGGCAAGTCGGCTGATGAGGTTGTGAACCTTAATCGATTGAGATAGGTTGAACATGTAATGCGCATGCCGAGCCACCGCCTACCTCGACGTGCAATGCTAGTGGAGGATGGGTTAGGTTGGAAGAGGATTCAGAGTGGTTAGACCAAAACGTGATACCAGTCGATGAAGTCCTTGACTGTTGGTCTGAGTCGTGTTGAGATATGTAGGCTGCCTGGTTGGGGTCTCCGAGATGAAAGGAATGAGTGGTTAAGGACTCTTGGTAGTATGGCTGAAAATCAGCCACAAAGGCGCAAATGTATTTACTTTTTGACATCTTATAAAGCTTGAGTATTTGCACTAACCGTTATCTTCAGATAGTTTATTCTCTCACACAACTTTATCTATTGTGATGTCAATCTTTTCCTCTTCACTTGTTCTTTGTATACTACTGTGAAGTGTGGCAACTTGAGCCAACACGTTTGTGTTCGAGGCTCTACATTGATTTTGTCTATCTGTCTTTTTAACTACATTTTAGCAGGCTTGTAGATCGATCACTGATGAAGAAAATAAGGTGTAGGTGCAGTGGGGCTTCCCCGGGTATCAACCTTTTGAATCAAGTATAGCTACCTGGTTGAATATACTCACTCCCAAATCGTTTATCTCATAATTTTAGTCTATGAATAAGCGTATATCTTCTTACCTTAGCTTATTTATGCACCAAGTAAAATCTTTGAATAAAAATGAGAAATGTGAGCATTCTAGATTTTAATTATATTCATTGCTATATGTAATCTGTTATGTGATGTACAGGATATTACATTTCTCACTTGCTTACCTCTGCAGGATATTCTCAAAGTTTGCAATCATAATTCTTACAAACTGGACTAGTTACTGACAGAAATATATATTGCTAACAGAACGCAGCTATCCTATTCACTACATAATGGAGGCTTTTGCATCACTGATTGCAGCGAAACTGCATGCAGATATTGTAGTTATCCGTCTTATTCTCTCAATATTCATAGGTTAGTTTCACGAAATACTATTCATTTGTTGTTTGTATTCCATTTCTCTAGGTTATCCTATTGCTTTAGTCTATAATATGCGATCAAGTTCCTGGAGAGTTTTCTATCGACACCTCTATCTGTTCACATGTGGTGTCAGCTTGTTCCTATGGAATTTCGGTATACACTTACTTCACTATTTTAATTCTCTGTTTTTAGGTTTTGATATTGTTCATATGTTCATTGGGATATTCACTACAATGCTAGTTAATTACTGTTTTATGCATTCAAAAGTTGCTGTAATCTTCGCCTTTGTTTTTAACATGGTTTGTTTGTAAATGCATTTTTTGTCATTGCTGTTGAAGGGATATTTGGTGGTTGGTTCACACGCGTATAATCGTGGCACTTATGATATTAATTGGACAACACCGTATTGTATACTTTGTCTCAGGCTTATTGGTTTATCCTGGGATCTATATGATGCATCTAAGCCAGAAGTAAGTACTTTAGTCGTTTGCTTTGTGTTAACCTGAAACTAGTACTTTTAACATGACATGAGGCTGTTACAGGTTTTTGATCACAGTTGTCTTCGTCGCATTGCTCGTGTTTTGTGGAATCACCGTATGAGCAATATTGAGGTCAGGCGAAGAGGACTAGGCGAGACAGGCAAGTCGATTGATGATGAGGTTTTGAACGTTCATTGGCTGAGATAACTTGAACGTATACAGGGCATGCTAATCCACCAACTATCTCCAGCCGCCATGCTAGGGGAGGTTGGATTAGGTCGGAAGAGTATTCAAACTGGTCAGACTTAAACGTGTCACCAATCGATGAAGTCCTTGACTGTTAGTCTGAGCCGTGTGGAGACATGTAGACTACCTGGCTGGGGTCCCGAATCGGTAGAAATCACTAGTTGAGGACTCTTGGTGACATGGCTGAAAATTGATCTTAGCGCAGATATATTCACTCTTTGACATCTTCGTTGAACTTTTCTGTTGATAGAATCGTATCATCCTATTTTTATTACAGTTGAAAGGTCTAACTTATCAATACTAATAACCAACAATTCGCTGGCTAGGGTAAAGGCTTATGTTGGAAACATTTTTATTCCCCTTTTTCTTCTTTACACATTTTCAAACATTGTACTTGAATTCTGTGGTTAGGCACGTGCAGTCGAATCTGTTTCATTGTCAATATCATCAATTTTATTTGCTTAGTTTACACAAGTTGATCATGAAATGATGTTTTAAATACATCAGTGATTCAACATTTGCCTGTAACGATCTTAAATAAATGATGTGGTTGCGAATTTCTAGCCCAACTAATGAATTAAGGCACTATTTATATTATATGAGAATCAAGCATAGTACAACACCAGGTTAGTAGTGATTGTTGATCATCACAAAGTATAAAAAAGAACATAAAAGGCTTGATTACCTTTTGCCAACTTACGCCATCTGTCGCACCGCCACGATATCCGATTGTCTACTAAGGGTCGATTTTACTTTACTGGAGTTCGCTTTCTACTGTATGGCTATAAAACATAGTTATCATGTCAAAAGTAGAGGACATGAGAAGGCTCCATGTGTTTAACCATTAACCGTTGTCTTCATGTATAGACCCATGTGTCATGGTGTCATGTCAGTAACACATAAATTAGGTATAAACGTTGAAGAAAGAGAGGAAAGTCAGTTGGTGTAGTTGTAAACCTTCGTCGACTGAGATGGTTGGAATATGTGTTGCGCATGTCTAGTCACCGCCTGTTCCACTGCCACGCTTCACAATAGTATACAAAGAACAAGTGAAGAGGAAAAGATTGACATCACAATAGATAAAGTTGTGTGAGAGAATAAACTATCTGAAGATAACGGTTAGTGCAAATACTCAAGCTTTATAAGATGTCAAAAAGTAAATACATTTGCGCCTTTGTGGCTGATTTTCAGCCATACTACCAAGAGTCCTTAACCACTCATTCCTTTCATCTCGGAGACCCCAACCAGGCAGCCTACATATCTCAACACGACTCAGACCAACAGTCAAGGACTTCATCGACTGGTATCACGTTTTGGTCTAACCACTCTGAATCCTCTTCCAACCTAACCCATCCTCCACTAGCATTGCACGTCGAGGTAGGCGGTGGCTCGGCATGCGCATTACATGTTCAACCTATCTCAATCGATTAAGGTTCACAACCTCATCAGCCGACTTGCCTAGTACTTTTTGTCTTACCCCGGTATTGCTAACACGGTGATTCCACCAAACGTGTAGAATGCTACGAAGATACTTGTGATCGAAATCCTGTGATCTCTTTATACCTTCTACTTTCAACGACCATGTTGCACAGCCTTATAAGAGGACGGAGTGGGCTGCAGCCCAGTATACTCGTCTTCTTGACGGGTAATAATGACACCTCGCCAGTGAGTTCCAGGGATGCAAGTTAGCAGATGCTAAGCGAATCTTCTGTATCCGAGCTGAGATTTTGTCGACAATCAGCCCATTCTCACTAACTGAACTCTTCAGGGAAAGTAAGTAGTCGACACATTCTACCACTCCATTTCCTGTCATTAAACTGGGAGTGGTTGGATCCCAGTCCTGGAGGATCATCTTACATTTAACAGGTGTGCAACGCATGCCATACGTACTTAGGATTCTGCTCAAGGCTTTCAGAAAGCTTTGCACTTGTTAGGGTCTTCACTCAGTAGTAAAATATCCTCTGCATATTCAAGTCAAGTAGATGACCTCCTGGGAGTAAGTCAATTTCTATGAAGTCAAACTTACCCAAGGTTATCTCCATTAGTACGTGTACAATGAAGTTAAATATCAACGGTAACAGTGGGCATCGCTGGTGGACATCAGTTGTTAATTTTGATTGCGTTATAGGGTTGATAATGTCATACGGCTGGTGTGCAATACTAATTTAAAGATATAGAGAATTGGTTGAATGCACTGACAACTTCACTACACAAAGTAAAGTTAACACGTATTCAAAATGTTTCCTCAAGTTACACTAAGAAACCTCCTCGTAAAGGTGACTATAGGGATATATATTATGATGTTGTTTAAAAATGAAAAAGCTGGTAAAAGTTTGATCTGATTTTGTATATGAGTAAACAACGTGGATGGCTATTGAACGATGAATTTTCAACAAAAGTGATACAAACTGAGCTTTTTCTGAGTGCCACTTTCTTACTTTTAACAGATATAAAGCCACAGGAATTGGTTTTAGAGAGAGCGGAATATTTCGTAAATGTTAAGAGCAAAAGCATATCATGAACGTTTTTTCTCATTTAATGTTCTTTTACGTTCGGATCGAATCAAAAATAGAAATCCTTTCAGCAACCACGTACATGTTCTTGTAATAGGCAACGAGACGCATTTATTATATTCGGGTTAATGATACTATTTGGTTGATTAGATCACTGTATGCGGAGCACAGTTAGAAGCCGTGATCCATCAGTTAAAAGTCGGGTCCTCAGACTAATGAACCACAGCTCCGTATGACATTCAATGGACTCGCAACACTGTGTACTACATCACGTTTACGTAGCTGTGTAGTAGAAGTATGGACAAGCGAGAAACAGTAAATGCGATAGTTAGTTGATACAGGTACTGTCATTACTTATTTATACTTATAATTCTGCGCTGATTATAATCCATTTGATGGCTAGCAGTGGAATCCAGGACGTAAGTTTCATCCTACTTGAGTCTCGTCAGCTGCTAGCCACCAAATGGACTATAATATGATGAATAGCCAGGCAGTGTTGAGGCATCTGCATAGGAGAAAATCTGCCAGCAGAGGTTGGGCAATATATACGGGAAATTACAAGTATCGATAAAGAATCCCCTCTGATTACTTTTCTGATCTAACTCACCTCGATTTGCATATAGGCTACCGGAATTGGTGGTTTGATCAATGTCGCTGGTTTATGCTGTTTAATTGGTGGTGGTCAATAGTAGAATGCATGTCTTATCTTACTTAAGACTTCTTAGCTGACTATAATTTGAATCCCAGTAAGTGTCAGTGTTTGAACCAAGAGGTGAACCTATCACCTGACTATATTGGCATCCGATGGCTCTATGTACCACTAACCCTTTTAGAAACAGTCACAACTGTGTTCGGATATGTAGGTACTGCACTATAAAATAAATACCTAAAAAGCCGTTTTCACTTTTTATGCATTATGAAGTTTTCTAGTATTTAACTTCGCCTGATTGTAGTGGATTTAGTAGCTTTGACATTGTAAAATTACATTGGCTAATCATTTGATATTGTTGCTTTACGTTTATTTTTCAGGCCCAACGTTCACCTTCTCAGAAGAAATCTGCCTTATCCAAATTCCCAGGAGTAATGGAAACATTGGCTTTTTGTTTTACTCCGACAGCTTTTCTTACTGGGCCTCAAGTGAGTGGTGAAATTTGCATTCTCCTGCCGCCCAACCCTCTCTATGCTATTACTGCAAAGCAGAGTAGTCTGCATACACTTGATAAGTGACTAATTTCTGTACTCTGTGACGTATGACTATCTTAAGGTAAACGACAGATTTAAAAAAACGCTTGGGTTTTAATTTGTTGCAACTCATGAACGTAAAGGTTTTCGGTTACCGCCACTCTTTAAAAGAATGCACATCCTGATTACAGATGATGATGAAATAGTAGTCTAGTTAAAGAATATAGCCAGAATCTTTAAGATAAATGATAAATTGAAGGTAATACTAAACAAATCCAATAGAGTACGCTTAATTCTCGGATCACAACAACAGTCATCCCATGCAGGTCGCTCTGGATAAAATTAGGAGGATACTGAACATCAATGTATCTCATCCGAGTGTTCCATTGAATCATCAAGCACACTGCAGGAACACCTTAGTCTACTTTGAAGGATAAGATAACCTACGATTCCCAATCTAATTACACTGGTAAGATAAAATGCTCCAACTCTAGTAAACTGTCCATTTGACAGGGTCAGAAAAAAGGAACATTTAAGAGCTTCCTTTCAACCCTCAAGAAGCTCAGTTGATCTCTAAAAGGCTTGAAGAACACTTCATCCATAGCTGTACACATCATGTCATGTCACAAGGTTGACTGCAGGATCACTGAAATCATTCAGAAGGGCCTTAAGAACTATTAGAAGCGCCTTGTAATAGAACAGCTCCACATAAAATAAATCTATAACATCTTAACAAGTACGAATGAATGTGCAAGATACCTTGACCTGATTGTAGCCTACCTTCGCACATGCTATCTGAGGCATTAATAAATTCTGGTTTACGATTAGTGTGTGGTGAAGCTATTATCCGTAAACTATCAAATGTGATTGTAAATGTCTAGTATTAGTGTAGTGTTGAAACACACTAAAAAAAAATTGTATCAGCTAACTGTGACTGCATATTGGTGGGAAACCTTGATGTTTCTTCTTTTTTTGGGGGGGGGACTTTATATTCTTCGAAAATTTGCACTAAAAATCTTGTTTGAAGTGATGGTGAAAGCCTTATCGTGTAAGCAGCTAATACATTGCATAATGTAACTACTTGAATACATTCATCAGACATATGACCTTTTATTTACTACTAAATAACTTGAGCATGTTTTGTTGATCATTCCTTCGTCTGACCGTTGTCAGTGGAGCTTTGGCTTATTTGTTCATCGGGTTGTGAGCCTGAACCCTACACCTTCTATTCAGATTTGAGCAAGCACGAACTGACACGTGGTTGTCGAGAACTGTTTCGATGGGCATTGTCCAGTGAGAATTTGTATGTTGTGTAAATCGTGTTAATATAACGTGTTTTCATTTTGCTAACATGAAACTAGATTCAACAATGTTAAGACATTTCTTGTTCGTTATGTCATAGTATTTTCTCATTGATGAAAAATTTCTTTCATAATTTCTAATTGTGTTAAATATGATCTCATTGTCTTTTCAAAATCAAAGTTTTCTATGCGACACTTTCAAGCATTCATTGATGGATCTTTACGGCCGAGTATTGTATTACGAAATCGTACTTTCAGTGATCGATTCATTTACAATGTCAAGTAAGTAATCATATGTGCTTCACTTAGTATCTTTTTTACTGAAATATATGGGTTAACTCAGTAACTTTTCAATGTGCTCTCATAAGGATACTCAAATCTTCGATCCAGTAAACCGTAAAATAAAAAATGAAATTGGTCAGGAAGTATGTGTGTGATTTCATGCTGATTATTCCTGTTATTAGTCGGCGAAATCTGTCTGCATTCTCGATTTGGTCACAATTTCTAGCAATCCACATCGATGTCGATGCTTGTACAAATTTTTATCTAACCACCAAGTTTGTAAAGGACTGGTTACATTTCAAGTTACATCATTCACATCTAGTTGGCCGTTGAAAACTATAAAGTGATTGGATCATCCCATCTGTTTGTTTTTCGTGGTATAACTACGTTGGTAGACAGACAGATAAGCAAAATCACCTTAGGACTTCGGACAAAATTGCGTCAACTCAAGTTGCCACAATTCACAGTAGCATGCAAACAATAAGTGGGTAGGAAAAGACTGATATCATAGTAGCGAAAAGTGAATGAGACAATAAACAATTTGATGGTTAAGGTTAGGGAAAGCATTTAAGCTACCGAAGACGTCAAAGGATGAATACATCTGCGTCTTTGTGACTGATTTTCAGCCATGTCAGCAAGAGTCCCTAACCACTGATTCCTTTCGCCTGAGGAACCCTAACCAGGCAGTCTGCATCTCACTCGGCTCAAACCAACATTAACAAACTTCAGATCCTGATTTGACCACCGTGATTCCTTTTTCAACCTAATCCAACTTCGCCTACATAGCACATTGAGGTAGGTGGTATCTCGTCATGTGTGGCACATGTACCAACCATCTCAGTCAACTAAGGTTCAATGTCTCATCAATCGAATTGAGTGTCTTGCCTAGTACTCTTTACCTCACTTCAACATTGCCCATACGGTGATTCAACCGATTGCAAGCACTGTCATGAAGACACCTATGATGAAAACCTTGTAACCGTTTTATGTCATCTACGATCATGTCTCATAACCTTATATAGCAGAACAGAACGGGCTGCAGTGCAGTATGCACATCTTTTCATAGATAGTCGGATATCTAATTTCACAAAGTCATAAAGAAGACTTCTTTATGCAGAGTTAGTGCTGCCGAGGATGTCACCAGACCTTTGGACGAAATGTCAAAAAGAAAATACCAAGGCTCAGAATGCACCAAACCATCATCATATAGATTTCTAAAAGTCACTTCCGATAACCTGTGGTAGATAGTGAACATCAATCATTCTTTCACAAACGATGAGTTATGCATGCATAAGACAGTTTGAACAGACAAGTCGTTTTGAATGTGCATACAAAAAGTGTGCTTCATGATACTTTTAACATTCATAAAATAATTAAAAACTACTGACTACTTCTTGCACAAATGAAAATATGTTGATGCAGTTTCAAAGACACATTGGTCAGAATGTATGCAGTATTACACCCACTATACGCATTTCACAGTCTTTTCTATTCTATACAATCGTTCCCCCATGGACTAGTGAAAAGTTAACGGTAGTCTTAGAGCTAAAAGTTGGAACAGTCTAAAAAAATTTGGAAGAAAACTGAGCATAGTCAAAGCCAAACCTTGTCACTCATTTATAAGGAGACTGTTGATCTAGATTGTACAGGTTGTCTGGTTGGAAGTTGTCAAGATATTGAAAAACTAATGATGCTTCGAGACTCTTGATGAAATGAGTTAAAGTTGGCAGTAATGCCGATAGTGTATTCACACACTTTTACCACCTGACTGACTATTCATGTTCGGTGGCTCTTTCTATAATGTTGTCGAATTCGGCAACTTGAACTTGCCCACACTGGTTAGTTGCTGACGAAATCTCAGCTTTGGTACACAAGGCTCGTTTTGCATTTACCAACTCACATACGGTGAAATCACCTATGTGACCAATATCGAGATCGGGCGAAGAGTACTAGGCAAGAAAGACAAGTCAGTCGATTGGGTTCCGAACCTGTATCGACTTCATTTCTTCCAACCTAATAATACATCAGGTAACATGGGCGATTTTGGATGACCATAGGCTTATCATGTCCAATACATACCATAACCAATTCAGTCACTGACTTTTCACAGCGTCATGAACTAACTTGTCATTTTTGTTTAGAACTTTAACCCTAATATCTACGTTACGAATGTGGTGGTTCTACCGCAAACAATTCGCGCTACGAAGGAAATGGTGATCGAAAATCTCTACTTTTAATGACCATGTTTCACAATATAGGGTAGGACACAGAAGATAGTTGGGTAGTTCACTTGATCCCATTGTATTTTCCATTTTTGAAAGCTAATTTAGGTTCATTAAAATTTCAAATAGTCTCAATTTGTCACTCTGATCAAATATGAATACGGAAGGAAAGATGAGTTAGCTTTATGTTGCAAATATACTCTACTGATAAATAAATTCTACTGAGCGTTAAATTCGTCTCTATGTCTTTCTGCTAATTTTTCATCAAATAGCCAATAGAATAAAAAAAATCAACTAAACAGTTTTTTAGAAGTAGTATTCATCATGGACTGATATCAGTTGGGGAATCATTGAAAATCTAGGAGCACTGGACACCTGTTTCATCCTAGTATGGGACTCCTCAGCGGTACGCCTACATGACCCGGCTAGGCATCGAACTTAGGACCTTCAGGTTTTATGGCGAATGCGTTAACCATTCAGCCACTAGGTCGGTTTTCAGTAGTTCACAATTTCCAACTTCTGTCAATTCACCCAGTGGCTGAATAGTTAACGCATTCGCCGTGAAACCTGAAGGTCCTGAGTTTGATGCCTAGCCGGGTCGTGGGTGTGTACTGCTGAGGAGTTCCATACTGGGACGAAGCAGCTGTCAAGTGCTCCTAGATTTTCAATGATTCCCCAACTGATATCAGTCCATGATGAATACTACTTCTAAATTAAAATCCCCATTCATCTAAAAAATAAACAGCTTTTTGACATACTGTTAATCTTTTAATGTGGATTAGAAAAGTTATAGTCAGTCGGGAAGATATCTTCCGCCTAGATTTTCAGCTTGATGATCATTGATTGTAGTATATTCTGAATATTAAAGAAAGTCCATTGCGTATGAGTAATGTTGAGCTGAAGCGAAAGGTACTAGGCAAGAAAGACAAGTCGATTGACAAGTTTATGGGCCTTAGTTGACTGAGATGTCTGGGAAATCTGTTACGCATACCGAACCACTGCTTACCTCGACGTGCCATGCTAGGAGAAGTTGGATTAGATTGGAAAAGGGTTCAGGGTGACTAGATCAAGGCATGGAATTAGTCGATGAAGTCTATTACTGTTGGCCTGAGCTATGTGGGGAGATGTGGGGTGCCTGGTTGCGGTCACCGCGATGATAGGAATGAGTAGTTGACAGCACTTGGTGACATTGCTGAGAATCGGTCACATTGGCGCACATGTATTCGCTCCTTGTTATCTTATAAGGCTTGAATATTTGTAGTAGCCGTTATCTTCAGATTGTTTATTCTTTCACACAACTTTATCCATTTTTTTGTGTACTTCTGTGAAGTGTGACAACTTGAGCCGATGCACTTGTGTGAAGGTTCTACTTTGATTTTGTCAGTCAGACATTATCGTGTTCCTTAGCTGCTTAGTAGTCACTTTGCCCTTTACATCTACACATTGGTCATCATCATCGTCGTCCGGTAATTAATTATTGTGCATAAATATCAACCATTGGGTCATCACGCGTTCGAGCGACGCTCCATATATTGAGGTCTGAGTAGCTGTGTAGCATAACGAGCCCTCACACAATAGGTGTGGCTCATTGCCTAAGGCATAGATGTACACTGTATGGTTGAGTGAGTACGTTTCGTTTCGCATAATATCTGTCCCTGCAATGTATCATTCCCAGTGTAATTGACTGAGGTTAAATCTGCCAAGAAGAAATAATTTACTTTCACTTGATAAGTCTAAGTACCAAAAAGCTGGAAGTCCTAGGTGTAGCAGAAATTCCTTCTGGTTAAGGTCACTTGTGATACCGGAAACTTTACCAACAGAATTTAGATCAACATTTAGAACTTGACAAGTGCAATAGTTGTCTACCATCTGGCGATAATTCTTTTATGAGTAGATGGCAGCGTCTTTTTGTATAAGAGGATATCTCGTTTTTGGCATATTATTTATTGATTTATATATGTGTATTTCATTACTATCATATGGAATTATATTAAAAAATATTAATAAGTTTTATGATTATCTTCTCTTGCTCTCTCTCTCTCTCTCTCTTTCTGTGTGTGCTTATAATATTTTGTTTATTGAATTATACATTCTTGTTAATTGTTTCTATTTCACGTGGAACATAGAGTTCAACGAACATTGGGTCGTTTTATCATGGGATTTCTTGGTATAGTCACCTTATCGAAGCTGTTAACAATGTATCCTGCTGACACAATGCTAACTGATGAGTTTAAAAATGTTAGTTAAGTCTTTTTTTAATCATTCTGCGTCTTATGATGATTAATACTCATTTTATACATGTGCTAACCTGCTACTCAATTGTGATGGTGATGATGATATATACAACGTTGTATTATTGAATTATTACTGAGCTATTCTTTTAATCTAGCCAACAAGAGTATTTTTTTCTCTCCTGAAATTCACTTTCAATTGTCAACTTCATAATTTACAGTTGAAATCAGCCTGTCGATGATTACATTAGTTTAACTTAACAATAACACAAGTTAACTGAAGTCTTTACTTTAAATTGCACAGCCTATCGTATACGTTTTGAATGACAGACTACATAGGCAAAATCAATGTAGAACTTCATACAATTGTGTTGGTTCAAGCAACAACACTTCACAGTTGGCTGCAAAGAACAAGTGGATAGGGGAAGACTGATATTAAGATGGAGAAAGATGTATGGGAGTAAAAAAAACTTTAAAATAAAGGTTAGTGAAAGCATTCAAGCTTAAGAAAATGTCAAAGAGTGGATACATCTGTGCCTTACTGGTACATTTACAACCATATCACCAAGAGTCCTCAGTCACTGATTTCTGTTGTTTCTGTAATTCTCAACCAGGCAGTCCACACCTCCGTACACGTTTCACATCAAAAGTCAGAAACTTTGTGCACTGGTGTCACGTCATGATCTGGTCACCATAAACCCTCTCCCAAATATAGTCAAACTTCCCCCTGTGTTACACCTCAAGGCAAGCGTTGGCTCAGCATACACAGTTCATGTCCAAGCGACCTCAGTTAATTAAAGTTCACAACCTTATCGATCGACTTATCTGTCTTGCCTAGTACCGTTTTGCTTAACCTCTTGATTACACTGTACGCAAAGAATACTACGATGACACATATAATCAAAACTTTGTAATCACTTCTTGTCTCACAGCTTTATAAGAAGATGTAACAGGTTGGTAAATACCAAGCGAACCATCTGTATTCGAGCTGAGATTTCATCTTGCATTGGTAAATCCGGTCCGAAATAAAAGGTGGAGCGAGTTGACACCAGATTAGTCGGTTTCATCTCTAAACGTATCTATCTACCTTTGCATACATTGATACCAAAATCACCATTACTCTATACCCAGCCACAGATTTATAAGACTGTGCAAAGTAACCGAGCAAACGCAACTGATACAACTTATGATCCAATGATAGCAAAGCTGAAACGACAAATAACAATTGCTCACATTATATATATATATATATATATATATATATATATATATATATATATATATATATATATATATATATATATATATATATATGCGAATGGGGTTTCATCAAATAACTGACAAGTTAGGAAACTATCAATAATGTTATATTCATCTCGGTGACTAGCCGTAGGATCCAGGACCTGTGTTTTGTCCTATTTTGGACTCGTCAGGTGAATGTGCCTGCACCCCAGTGGGTGGTGTTGTTCCCACTGACCGTCAAACCCAGTAGCCATTACTTCAAACACCAAAGGGTTATTCACTAGGCCACTGAGGCATGATAGCCGCCTCTTTTACTACGGGTATCAGTTGTTGTTTTGAAGCTTATAATTCCCTGTCGCTATACAGAGCTGAATCGCTTGAGTTACTTAGTGTTGCAGTCACCGGCGTTACCACTCAGCTGAGCTGTTTGCACCACGACTGACATCCTGTCGAACTGGATTACATACACTGATTGATCACTGCAGAGGAACCGATTTCATGTTGTTAGTCTTGAATGCTGACCGAATTCTATCGGTCATTTACAATATGGCCACCAAGCTAGAAGGCTCACCATCACGGTGCACATTGATAGATGTTAGTTGGTTAGGGGCAATCGGCAGGAAGTCCTGGACCTAGGTTTCCTGCTTGTTAGCACTCGTCAGAAAGGCGTATTTGCAACTTCAACATAACTGATGTCTCGCCTGAGCTTTGAACCCTCGTCAAACAGTGTTGCAATCACTGATATATGTATATATAATGTACCGCGGATCGAAACAATGCGATGTTGCTTAGTTGCATTGTTCATTCTCTTTATCAGCTTGCGCAAACGCTCACACGCGCACGTGTATGTGCTTGTGTGTATCGTGGATCATTTCTATACATTTTTAAATACCATATGACCCTTTCTCTCTCTCACTAGTTTGTTTGTTCTCATTCATTATTAACTAACTTTGCTTTCTCTTTATCATTAAATACTGTTCAATTTCTGATAAGCTAAATTAAGCCAAAATTACCTTACCATAAAGCATCTTCCTAATCTATAACATATAACAATACTACTTTATTCGCCCTTTGTTTGTTGATTTAAATCAGTCTTGTGTACTGACTATCCTTTATAACTATTATCCTGGATTGTTTTGATTAGTAACTGGGTCACATCTCTTCCCTCTTTTGTTTTGCTTGGTTAGCATCTACAAACAGGATTCCCTGTAGGTCTTTTTATTTCTTATCGTCTGTGTATGTTATTACCCAACATGTATCCAATTCCTGCAGGATATTTATCTTTCACATTGTTTTCCTACTTATTGTTTGTGTGTGTTTGAAGGGGAGGGGGGGGGAGTATATTTCGACTTGGCTTTTTCGACAGCGATATTTTACCGTACTGACCAAACAGACTTCTCCACATAGATGAAAACTGTTCCATGAAGAGAAAGAATTAGTGATTTAGCGTTGTAGTTTTTTGGATGTAGGTATAATGTAGGTATAATAACAGTAATAACTATCATAGGATATGCATATTCGTGTTGTTACTTATTCAAGCTATACGTTTGATGAGACTGGTAAGTACATGATCTTCGAGCTTCTGGTTAACTCGACTGTAACATAGACGACGTGGTGACATCGATCCCAGAGTGATATCAAAGTCTTATCTATTTATCTTCTACGACTTGGCGTTAACAATAATGTATGTAAAGTGGTAACTGTTTAGTAGAACCAACTTTCAGCAGATGAACCGGCAACTTGTCGTGGAATATGCGCATATACATGAGTTCCATCATACTGTTGGTAGCTGTGTTTGGGGAAAAGGATGCTACAGGAGGGAGTGACAGTTTTACATTGACCTGTATATTTTCCAGCTTAACAAATGGATGAGTGGTCCATTCGAAGTCTTGCTATCACCGGAAGATCAAATTTTTTCTTAGATGACAAACAGTTCCACCTCTCGATTTTATTATAGTGCTCGTAGATATCCAGATTTCTGCGCATTAAACGATTTGGTGATTGGAGGCAGTGTGTAAAAACACAAGGATATTGACAAAGCGACATGGACTTCACCAGATGGACACACGACACACGACTTCATCTGAATCTGAAGAAAGTGGAGATGCAGGCAGACTACTGGACACAAGGTGAAAAAGGGGAGCAGATGTCGGTTCACACCACTATCTAGCGCAAGGAACCTATCTTCAAAATCAAGTTGAAAGCCTTCACAGAAGTTAGTGATAGACCACAGTTCAAGTTCAACACCCAGAAACTAAAGAACAAAACTACAAAGGACATCTTCACGTCAGCCATCAAGATAAAATGGGAGATAGATATCGAGCAAGATCCGTGAAGAAACGTGTGTGAAAGAACACTGGAAGTCTTTGAAAGTGATGTGGAAAGAAACCTGCATAACCGTATTAGGAAGGAAGAAGAAATAAGACACGGAGTGGATCTCAATGGATACATAGAAGCTGATAGAGGAGAGAGAGGAGGATGGTGAAGCAGAAGATGAACCAGTGCAGTGCAGTGCGGGGATGAACAACGAAAGGAAGAACTGAGTACAACCTATAAAACACTACACTGGACAGAGAAGTGAAGAAGAGTGCGCACAAAGACAAAAGACACTTCTACGACACATTGGCAAATGAACCAGAACAGGCTGCTGGTAGGAGAGACCTGACAACACTGCATCAAATAACCAGGTTACTATCCGGGAAGAGATCAACTCAGACGAAACCAATGAAAGATAGTGAAGGAAAGCTAGTTACCAAAGAGGAGAAACAAAGGAAACAATGGGCTGAGCACTTCAAAAAGCTCTTGAATCGACCACCACCACCACCGCAACTCGTCCAGAAATACCACCGGCAACAGCAGAACTACCAGTGAACACATGCCCTCCGACAAAAAGCCGAAGTGAAGTCCTCAATGCCGTAAAACTGCTGAAATCCGGGAAAGCAGCAGGAGCAGATGGAATTCGGTCAGAAGCACTGAAAACGGGTGGAGAGACAACATCGGACATGCTCACACCACTATTGCAGAAGGTTTGGAAGGAAAGAAAGGTACCTACCGGTTGACTGAAAGAAGAGCTACCTTGTCAAACTCCGAAAGACGGGAGACCTAATTTTTTTACAAAAACTAGAGCGGAATTATGCTCCTATCCACCTCAAGCAAAATATTAAGCCGCATCAAGCTGGAGAGACTAAAGGATGCGCTGGATTCAAAATTACGACCGGAACAGGCTGGCTGGCTTTGGGAAGAACAAATCATGTGCGGATCAAATTGCAGCGCTACGCTAAGTATCATCATAGAACAGAGTATAGAATGTTAGTCAACTCTCTATTTCAACTTTATCGACTTTGAAAAGGCCTTCGATTGACGAGTAGTTTGGCAACTGCTTCAACACTATGGTTTTAGTGCCACAAACCTTTATCAATATCATTCAACAGCTAATTGCTATACGTCGCTATGTGCTAAGTGATTCGCAGTACAATGCTCAGTGACACCTTTGAACTGAAGACAGGAGTAGGACAAGGTTGCCACTCACTATCTCCGATGATCTTCCTGAATGTGGTCGACTGGATCATGCAGCAAACCGTGAGGAGCGAGAAGATGGGCATACGCTGTTCGACCGATGAATGACCCTATAAGATTTGGATTTCGCCGATGATGATTAACGTCTGACGTCGCACAAACTCGAAGATCTACAGGCGAAAACTAAAAGTTGACAAAAGGAGCGAGGTGGCGAGGATGGGACTTCAAGTGAACGTAGAGAAGACAGTGGTGATGAAGATAGTCAACCAACAGTACCAACAAGCACCAATCAGCATGAACAGGAGAAATCTAAAGGGAGTTATCTCTCACCTACCTAGACAGCATCGTTTCAACTACAGGTGGCGGCGGCGGCACAGATGAGGATGTCAAAGCCGGGATCGGAAAAGCAAGGCAAGCCTTCATTAACCTGAAACCAGTGTGGAGATCTACTACACTGCACTCAGAATAAACAACAAGATCCGGATTTTCAACACTAATGTCAGTCGAGTCAGTGGCTTCTGTGTGATGGTTTAGAGACTTGGAGCATCACGAAAAGCATTTCCAACAAACTACAGACATACATCATGAACAACTGCCTACGCTCGATACTGAAGATCAGATGATCAGAAAGAATAAGCAACAAGAAACCGTGGAAACGAACCAACCAACAGCCTATCTCCTAAGCAATATGCATAAGAGCGTGGAGATGGATTGGATTGGGTATATACTGAGGAGACCATTCAGAGACACCACGCATCAGGCCAGGCCGTCGAGTGGAACGGGAATGGGAAACGAGGAGTTGGGCCCCCCAGTTGAGGATGACATGGAGGAGATGATGTCAGGAAGAAATGAAAGATTGTGAGGAGTTGTGGAGCCAGGTTGAGCCAGACTGCAGAGAGTAGAGTGGAATGGAGACGTGCTACTGAACCCCTATGTTCCACTAGGAACCCAAGGGACAAACAATTAACATAATAATAATATATCCAGTATACTTTAGGCGAGCTGAAGTTTCTGGTCAAGCAAGATTTAGAAGCATTCAGTTTATAATGTAACTTTTTTGGTGATTAAATTTGTCGATTTTCACTGTAGGTATTTGCACAGGCCATCACAAAGCCTAACTAGGTGAATCGAAATCCATCCATTTTGTTTCCAATTATTAAATGCGAACGATGGGTCAGGGGTTGGAACCCCGCTCCACCTACCAAGGTTTGGGCATAGTCAGGTAGTATCATTCGTCGTCAGACAATAGGTGACTGACTGACTGTCCACTGCAGGAATGTGCACACGTTTACTAAGTGCATTTTAATTTAGATTCGAAATGATTTTTTTATTCGCTTGTTGTAGTCGTGATGTCTAGTTGACAAAGTGCTATTGGTTGGTTGCTGTGTATAAAGGTATATCATAACTTCCTAGGAGTGTATGGTATTACCGAAGATACTGAATGTTCATGCTAGTTGACGATTATTTCTCTTCAACTAGTTTTTATTCTATTTTTTTTTGGCACTTACTTATGTTACTTTGTTAATTTGATTAAAAAAAACTAAGTGAAATGATATTCAGAGTTAAAACTGACTGACTAGTTAGTTGGTTTCAGTCAACAAATCCTCAGTCATGTTTCTTATTTATTATTTGATAATGGTTAGCTTTGGAATCTAGGGCGATACGTTTTGTCGTTTTTCAATCTCGTCAACTTTATGCAGTTGTGCCCACGTCGTATCGTTGTTCTAATCATGACTAGAACCCAACACCTGCCTCGAAAAATATCAGTGTAAGGTTTTCGATAGATAGGCTAGTCGACTGACAAGGTTGTGAACCTCGATGTATCATGCTAGGAAGAGTTGGATTATGCTGGAAGACGGTTGAGGGTGGCCAGATCAAAATCTTACACCAGTGCATGATGAAGTCTTTAACTGTTGGTCTGAGTCATGTTAGGAGATGTGGACTGGTCGGTTGTGGCTCCTGAGACGATAGGAATGAGTAGTTGAGAATTCTTGATGATATTGCTGAAAATCGGTCGCATTAACGCACATGTATTCACTCCTTGATATCTCCTAAGGCTTGAATATTTGAACTAACAGTCACCATGAAATTGTTTATTCTCTCACACAACTTTATCTACTTTGTTTATTTGATATATAGCGCACAGTGATACAGTATTATTTACTTGATTACGTTTCGAGCATAAATTATTACTGCTCATAATCATCACATCAATGTAATCACACACAAGTTTCGATATCTGATTTTATAATCCTGTCACCTGATCTCTCTTTGTTTTTTTTTGTCGATTGGTAGTAAAGTTTTCCATATCTCTGGTATAGGTGTTGCGTCATTCCTATTCCACATGTGTTGGGTGTGGATTCGATGAAGAAAGATTCAGTAATCAATCTCTCTCTCCACCTAGGTATATTAGACTGTGAGGTCAAATACATAGGTCAAACTAGCCGGTCGGGGTCACTTAGATTAACAGAACAGAAATTTAGCTAAACATAGAACGACAGACCCTAATAAGATCAATAGTCTAGAAAAACACTCGGCCATTGCATTACATTCATTAACACACAACGACACAATAGGGTGGGACAAAACCACTGTATTTAAGTCTATATTAGCTTAGGTGGAGAGAGAGAATAATTACTGAATCTTTCTTCATCGAATCCACACCCAACACATGTGGAATAGGAATGACGCAACAACTATACCAGAGATATGGAAAACTTTACTACCAATCAAAAAACAAAAAAACAAGGAGAGATCAGGTGACAGGATTATAAAATCAGATATCGAAACTTGTGTGTGATTACATTGATGTGATGATTATGAGCAGTAATAATTTATGCTCGAAACGTAATCAAGTAAATAATACTGTATCACTGTGCGCTATATATCAAATAAACAAATCGAATATGGAATTACATTCTACCACAGTGCCCAAGTTTTACACTTATCTACTTTATCTACTCTGGTATGTGTCTTTTTCTGTCTACCTATACTTTTTGCACTACCGTGAAGTGTTGCAACTTAAATTGATGCACTTGTGTGAAGGTTCTACTTTGATATTGTCAGTAGATCTCTTCTTTTCTTTTTCTACCGCTTCAAAACTTCAATAATTCTATTTATTATAGGAATGGAGTTTCTTCTCTCGCCTACTCTACATGATGGTGTTCGTACAACTAGTTTTGCTACGTTATGTATCCATCTGGTTGATAGCTGTAAGTCTTTGTTTATCAACTGTTTTTCTCCATATCACATAGGTCGCTTCTATCTGTATTTTCACTTGTTATTTTTAACCTTTTTAGGTAAGACCTGAGGCAATTTGTATCAGACAAATACTTCTACTTGACTTTGGAAATATATTTATGCACACATTATGAAGTAGTTCTTCCACTCTGACCACTTATTATAAGTGTTTATGTACACGGGGGAGTCTATGGAATGATGGTTTGTGAATGGAAACAGGTTTGGTATAAGTATTGATCTATGTTACCAAACTTCTAATCACTAGAGAAAGTTCAAGTTGGTAGAAAAGAGAAGAACAGTGATAACTGCTGATAAGAAGTCGTAATATACCGAGGCAAAAAGAGATATAGAGAACCCAACTCTTCCACGATCGACTGGACCTGTGGTTTATTAGTCTAAATAAGTTGACTTTCAACCGCAACGTCGTGTGGGTTAGAGTCTTGGTTGACTTACCGATGTCTGGGCAGTCAGGTAGTATTATCAACTTTGATACAATAGTACACGTACGTGGTTGTTCAAGGGGTTCTATTCCTCACTGTGGCCTATTCCCAATAGAATTGCATGAAGTCCTCGAAAGCTGAATTCGAGTGTTTGTCATCTTGCGATCAGTTATACTGCACTTTTAAACACAGTTCGTCATATCAGTGACTCTATGATTTTATACTATGACCACACTCAGAAGTTTTTTACGACTTTAACATACTCCAGTCAACACGACATGTCACCACGTATCATAAGTATCTCAGTTGGTAAATTCATCAACTAATTTATCTCTCCTACATTCAAACTTTATCGCTCACATGGTATTTTTAATTACACATGAGGGATACTACGAAGACATGGTGTTGATCAAATATCAAAAGGTTCCATCGGCCCTTCACTTCTGATGCTTATACTTCACATCCATGCACGAAGATGGAGTGAACGGCTATGCAGTAGTAGACTCGACTTTTATAGGCATTCATATGTTAGACCGGGGGAAAAAGTGGTCCAATTCGGTGAAAACTTACTGGGGTTTTGAAAAACGTCTGTTTCGAAATCACCACAGGATCAGTCAATCATCATAGTAGTGTCACTATAAGAATGTCTATTGATACTGACGCCTAAAAAGTACTGTACTTTGATCATTCCTGATTTTCACGCACTGAAAGTGTTTTGTAGGAAATTAAGAATTTTAACATGTTACACCAATTATGTATACAGATAGTCTGGACTGAAAAACAACATTAAATTTATGAAATATCTGTTCATCAATTCTCGGACCAATGTAATTTAGCCTGTTAATTAATTTTGTTAGTGTTCTACTGTGTGAGAATCCCGTTGAAAACATAATTTCTTTGATGAAAAACAAATTATCCGTAATGCATATTAGATATTGTCTAATAATTTATAAGAACAAGGCATGTATCAGCGAGGAAATATTTTTTTTCAATGACTTCATTATCAAGCTGTACAGTTGTATTTATACTCTGATTCGTCAATGCGTGAAGGATAGGCTTCCACTTATGTCCACTTCGATGTGTATCTACAAGTCCACATGCTCCTGTGGAGCTGACTATATTGGACGTTGTAAGCGGGCCCTCCGAAAACGTGTTGCTGAACACTACCGGTTTGGCTTACCAGAGGCGAGCAAAGGAAAACAACTTCATCCATATGTGAACACCTTGTTGTATCGGGACACTTAGCACCTCGAGATTCATCCTTTAAAATAATTTACAAAGTTAAATTGAACTACTCCAAAGGTTTACGTTTCCACCACTTATGCATCGCTGAAGCATTAGCTATACATGAACAAAAACCGAAACTTTGCATTCAGAAACATTTTGTGAAACCACTTTCTCTGCCTTGGCCTTAACAATTCATTTTGTTGATTTTGTCAGCTTTCAGTTCACTTCACTTCGGTATACTTCTCTTCTATTATCACCATCATCACCAATTTTCACTTCATTGATAACAACACTTGAACCATATTTCACTCCTTAATATCATTGACCTATTGTACACGATTCAGCTTAATTATCACCGTTTTACAATTCTTTGACAGCACTTGTCGCTTATCTCACCACTTGTTATCAATTCCTCCCTCTCTATTCACTGACCCATTTTCTATCTCTTCCACTTGAACAAATACCACCAGCTACACCGATTGTATATTTTGCATATTGACTGAGCAACTCCCTTTTTAGTGCAATTATGTGTCACTTTACTGAGTATAAATACGACTGCTGTACAGCTTGATAATGAAGTCATTTCAAGTTGTTATTCATCGAAGACTGACATCAGTTGGAGGAACAAAGGAAACCTGGGAGCGGTGGAGTCAAAGCCTGATGGCCGTGAGGACAAATACTCAACGATGACATTGGGTGGCGGTCTGCGCTATATCGTGAGCTAACAGAAGTTGGAAATATGGAGCATTGGATTCTGACCCAGTGGCTCAATGGTAACGCGCTGGTCGCAGAACCTGAAGGTCGCGGGTTCGATCCCTGCTGGTGGGGTCGTGGGTGCGCACTGCTGAGGAGCCCCATACTAGGACGAAACAGCTGTCCAGTGCTCCCAGATTTCCTTTGTTCCTCCAACTGATGTCAGCCTTCGATGAATAACAACTTGAAATAATTCCAAATCTCCACAACCCCTCAAAATTTGATAATGAAGTCGTTGAAAAGAAATATCTGTTCTTCGCTGGTACATGCCTTGTCAATGAATAAATGGGTATATTTCATCAGTTGAAAATTTTTAGTCACTGATGTTTGAGTTCTGGTTTGTATGGTTTTGAAATACTTAAAAGAAGTTTTGTATACTCAATATGGAGCTGTGATTCATTGGTCTATTGGCAGTTGACTTTCAACCAGTGGATCATGAATTCGAACCTCGCCCCAACTACTAAAGTATGGACAACCAGGTAGTATCATTAACCCTAAGATATAATAAGTTTGGGCAATTACCTATTAGATGCAGGTGCTAATGGTTGTTGATTAGATAGTTCAGTTCCCCTCTCTTAAGAAAGAGCATTCACGCTGGAAGAAGCTTTAAGGCTGTAGAATATGTAGTTTGACAATGGATCATAACAAATGAAAGTTGTTATCCATGAGTTCTGTTTGTACTACGCTTTTTTGAGGAAATATTTGTCTTCATGGCGTATAAATTCCCTTCAACGATCGACTGACTTTGACAATAATCATTTACGTGTAGGATCTCTCTCTTTGTCACTGCTTCTTTTTTATACTCACATTGTTGAAATACTTATCCGAGTCTTTTTTCTTGTAATGATCAGTCTTGAATTCCTCCCTATACATGATAGCGTTGTTTGTCTTGTTTTCTTTTCTTCAAAAGGAGGGTTCATGTGTTCTACTTGGTCTTGGATGCACGGGTTTTGTCCATATTCAATGCAAAGGGCTTGATCAATTGCCTGACTTAAAAACAAACAAGGATACTAAGACATTTAGTCGTGATGGTCCTGTATTAAAACGTCGTGATTCCGCTGTGGAATGGTCTGTGGCGGATAATCGTATCAAGTCTTTGGCTGATTTATATGATCCAAAACAAGTTGAAGTATATGAAGCTCCGCATACTGCCTGTGCAAATATTTCGTTGGCACGATATTTTTTTGCAACCAATACTGATGATCTTGTCGCTGGGTTTAATATCAATACTAACAAATGGGTTCTAGAGTAAGTGATTTTGTCCATGTTATCACTGAATACTGCCAATTGAATACAATAACCTTCATACACCATTCTTGATAACCACTGAGTTGTTGAGTAAATAGAGAAGCCGGTAAAGCGACAGAAAGGGTGTATTGCGCTATTAAACTGCGCAAAACATAACAGTTTTTATGTGCTTACAATCGCTCTGGCTACTTCCGAATGTTTTTAGGAGGATATTCATTCTCTATCGATTTCGCCTCTTCAACCAATCTGATAAATACGCCTGTGATGACTTACCTTTTCTTCGCGTCAACTTCGAGTCAAAGCTATTGATTATGCAAGGATTCAGACATTTGGCGCTTCTTCCGAGAATCTGGGTAGTCTTACTGCACACCGTAAGCAATACCTAAACCTAAAGGATGGCAGAACCGAATTCAGCGAGTGAATTTTTAAAGATTGCTGATCGTCATCATCAACAACAACATAAGACCAGGGGTTAATGTCCAATGGTTCAAGTTGCCCCACCTCATATCAGCACATCAAGCAACAAAGTGCTAAGATGAACGTTGAAGAGATAAAGAAGAATCGATCGAAAGCAGTGGAAAGTAGTCAAAGAGAGGAAGGAGGAGTTGTAGACTGCTGAATTCGGTATGACGATTAAGACGAAGATAATATGGGGATACATCTACTCCACTGACATTGATTTAGGGCCATGTCATACAAAGTCAGTCTCGAACCACTGGTTTTTGTTGTCACGTGGAACCCCTACTCAACTCTGACCAACGGTCAAAGACTTCATACAATGATGCCATGTTTAAGTATGGTCACTCTTAACCTTTTTCCAGCTTGAACTTACTTCAGCCAACATTGCGTGACAGGGCAGACGATGACTAGACATGCGTAAAAAGAAGAAATATGTGGATGGAATGATCTACACACTTCCTTGTTTTCGTCCTACTGCAGTACAAATGAAATCAGAGATTAGATACTAAGTTGGGTAAACATGTGATTGGTTAGTGATTTTGGAATTGTAGATTATTCAACTTCCAACTAAGTAGATCAAGAGTTTGAATCGAGCTTCACCTATTGAGCTGTGAACAGCTAGATAGTATCACTAGCAGTATAATACCATACAATAGATATAGCTCATTGTCTACTGCACTAATGTGCATAAAGCTGCTGAATGAATTTCAATTGCGTCTTCGGAATCCTAGTCAAGTACACCGATAGCAATGATCATTTACTAAACGGTGACCTCATGCAGATCGATGTCTTCAGAGAATATTTTTTTCTCTCACTGACTTCGAGTAATAATAAATATCTTTATTCTCTCTATTTATCCTTATTTTTACTAAATAGCTTCTTGAAGCTTGTGACCATTTGTATTACTCATGGAAGGTAGGGTAATTTGAACTGCACTACACAGTAATACTAATCGATACTTTACTTGTCTGTTTGCTTCATTTTCTTCTTTCCGACTGATTCATTGTTGTAGGTTTGACTCCACTACCCTTTGACTATCTCTTCTTAGTAGTTCATGTTATCAAAATGTTTCCTTTTTATATGTGCTGGACTGATGATTATCATTCGCCTCCAAGTTAAGTCAACCTGCTACTGTATGAACACTGAGGATATTTCCGTCTCACGTAACCCTCAACCTTTATTGTCACGTTAGCTGGTTTTATCTTATTTGGGATTCGTCAACTGGATGTACCTGCACCCCACTAAGACTCAAACCTGGGACCCAGTAGACCACTGAGCTACTGATAGCAGTAAATATTTGGGTAGGATATAGGAGCCGACATGCCAACACAGAGGTCGATGAATTCGACCCAGTACAACAACGGAGAATTGCAAGTATATCAACAAGTAATAATAGCTACTATCCAGTGCATAAGAGGTAGCTTTCATGCCTTAGTGATCTAATGGATAACGCTTTACCGGTTGAAACAATGGGTACAAGATTCTAGTCTCAGTGGGGACAACATCACCAACTGGGCTGGGTGCAGATACATCCCGCTGATGAGTTCCAGACAGGATGAAACGCCCGTCGTTCGTTCCACTACCAGACATCAAACAGACTTATATTTGTTCTCTTGAAGCTTTCCTGAGGAAAAAATGAAAACAAGTAGTAAAACACGTGCATAATTGTCATGTTCATTGTCGGAGATTTGTTCTCCTCTCTCTCTCTCTCTCTCTCTTTCTCTCTTTAGATATGTCTATAAACGTCTACGTTTCCTGGGCAATAAAAATCTATCTCAATTGGTGACATTACTATTTTTGGCGATTTGGCATGGTACACACAGTGGATATTATATCAATTTTGGAGTAGAACTCTTAGTTGTTATAGTTGAAAAAGATGTAAGATTTTATTATTCTTTTAATTTCAACTAATTGATTTATTTTATTGAATTTGGAAATTCATGAGGATTGATTAGTTCCATGGTAGGTTTTCATCACAGACTGTTATCAATTGGAGAAGTATTGAAAACCTGGAATCACTGTCCTAGTTTACCACTTTCCAAGGGTGTTGATCCAACAGCCATCTGGTCTTGTGATGGGCATATTACCAGTCAGCTACTATGTTGGAGTCTACTTTCTCATGTGACTGGCAGGTATTTGTCTCTGTGCTTGACCTGGTTGACCCTACACGTGTTATGGCTTCTCATTGGAAGTTGGAAAGATCCATCTGGAGGCTTATCACTAATTAGCAGGTCGCTACCGTAGCGTAGCCAGTCAATCTGTGAACTTCAATTTTAGAAACGAATCACTCAGTGTCAATTTTAATTTTAACTATTTTCCATTGGATTTCTCGAAGGTATTCAAACCAGAAATGCACAAGAATATTATTTGCACTACTAGAATTCCATGTTATAAAAGTAGTCAAGTGTTTTGTGGAGCTATCGCTCATTAGCATAGGCTTTCAAATTCTCGCAGATGAGTCACGGGCTGGAATCCAATTCCAGTGAATAAGTTCTGAACAACCAGATAGTATACTAGCTTTCCCCAACGGGTGTGGCTCCATTGCCTGCCTAGCTGCCTACTGGATAAACATGTATGTGGTTACTTTGAGTGAATCCCAATTCGAGTCGTGTCTGCAGTACTGAAGTTTGTCTGTATGCTACTGTTCTTAGCCGACCTGATTATTTCTCGCTTGTTAGCTTGTGACAAGACTATCTTCATATGATGAATCATTTTACCATAAAGTATCTCTTTTGAGTCACAGGTTTATTTCCCCTTGTATATTTTTTTTACGATGAAGTGATTTGAACTTCTGTGTTGTTGTTAATTAGTTACAAAAATACTCGACTATGATACATCGAGTTACTATGGGTTCTAAGGTTATACACTAACCTCAGCTTGCATAACCTCCTATTATCTTCATATTTCATCGTACTGCACTGCATAGTATTGATGTAAATATAAGTTGATTTGTGATATTTGTTCATCCACTTAGCATTTCGCTTATATAAATTTGATTATATATTTTATGCATTGCTTTCTTCTTTGACGCCAGTTTTTGTCTATACTGAAGAAATCAAAGTATAATCATTTCTTCTATGAAAGTATTCCTGGACGTGTAATCAGTAGTGTTTGTGGTAAACTGCATATATGCTTCCTATTGGCTACTCCACTTGTAGCATTCTCTCTGTTACAATTCCATTTATGGTTTCCTGTAAGTACTTATTGATAGCAATATGCAAAAGTATTTCTAGATTTCTTTCTCTTTATTAATCACTAATGCCGGATATATGATTTGGCTAAGTGCCAAGTCGAATCAAAATTGAAATGCATCCAACCACCTTGAAGTTGTAAACCTTCATCTCCTGAGGTGGCTTGAACACGTGTAGTGCATGCCGACTCACCGCTCACCTCGTTGTGCCATGCAGGCAGGAGTTAGATTAATTAGTAAGAGGGTTCAGGCGGACCAGAACCAGACCTGGAACCAGTGCATGAGGTCTGTTACTGTTGGTGTGAGCCGTGTTGGGAGATGTAAACTGCCTGACTGGGGCCACTGTGACGAAAGGAATCAGTTGTTAAGGTCTCTTGGTGCAGATGTATGCACTCCTTGACATCTTTGAAAGCTTGAATATTCACACTAACCTTTTTCTTCAACGTGTTTATTCTCTCACTTTGATATCAGTGTTTTCTGTCCACTTGTGTTTTGTATACTACTGTCAAGTATGTTAACTTGAACTGATGCACTTGTATACAAGGTGCCATGTTGATTTTTCCTCTCTATCCGCCTGTCAGCGACCTTATGGACACTGGTGCATTACTCAATGAACCACATATTTTCGTGTCTGATACTACCTGGCTATCATCCACACTGGAGGTAGATGCAGCGGGCCTCAAACCTGTGACCCATTCGTTGCGAATCACCTCCCTACACCAATGAACTACAGCTCCACTGCTTAACAGAAAACTGATTTATTTTTATACTGCGTACAAATTTTACGTGCTGATAACTCTAACGAAGAATTATCATTGAATTGTAGGTCAAAAATAAGCAGAATAAACAACATTCACATATTGTTTAACTGGAAGGGATCTCTGCAAGCAATCTCTCTCGAAAGCTTTTCGGTAGCTAGTTCTCCTTGCAGTCTTACAGGCCTAGGTATGCCATTGATTCCTAAGATAGAAAGTACACTGCTCTCGATTGGATATCAGTTGTAAGTCGTCTGTGTGGTGTTCGACTGAATGGTGCATTCAGGACTTGTTGGGTCTACGTCACAAGGAAAATCTCAGGTTGGCAAGTGTAGGTCCAGAATCGATATCAGTGGCGCAGCTATATCTACACACATTATCTTAGTCGTAACACCGCATTTGATTATTGTTCCATTCTTTGTTCTATTTCTATGGCTTTTGGTAACCACTTTATTCCTCACTTTTCCATCTTTCCTCTGTTTGTCTACTACTACCTACCCAAATGAAGTATGATCACTTCGACCGTTAAGCAATAATGTCACCTCCAGTGTTTATACTGACTTATCAGATAGCTTTCAAGCGGACTTAACTTCCTTATAAATTCATGTGAACACTCATATCTGTGACATTTTCGAAAAAGAATCAACGATGCTAATAGCGATAAATTTACTGTGTTCTTCAACGTCACAGTTTTATTTACCTCATTTTCACTAGGACTCACAAAGGACATCATATGTATTCACTTCAATGAAGCTGCGAATCGTGAGCAGTACAAACTATCAACTCATAGTCTAAGGCCATTGACTTGTATTTATTAACGCATTTCCAGTTCATTGATATGGTATTTTCAAATAGATTGAGAAAAACTCCAATGGGATCACCGATTTCTGTCTGAATTAACCACCAAACCAGTAATGTCGAAAGAGAGAGAGAAGAGAGATGTGATATTAACACTTTCAACTCAAAGTGAAGAAGGAATTGAACAACAAACTGTCATTACGCCATGTCTTAGCCATTTGAACAAGCATAGGTTAAATTACAGACTGAAATGTATAAACAGCCAATATACTGGACGAATCCTTAACTACGGTAGTGAACATCTCTGGAAATCAATTATGTGAAGACTTTATTCAAGACAGTAGGCATATTGAAGTGCAATCACTTAATGGAGAAATAAGGATGGATAAAGCAATGTAATGAGCCTGGCGAAGAAATGCATCCGTCTAGGTAATGCCCCTCTCCACTACACCATCCAAAAAGGAGGTGAATAGAAAAACTGATATTAAGTCAGATAAATATTTATGTTTGTGTATAAGAAGGCAGAGAATATGTACATGAAAGTAATTAGAGATAATCAATTGAAGATACAAGTTGTCAACCATCACAAAAACAATATCACTGATACGTGAAGATAAGAAGACAAGATAGACTATTGATAGAGAGATTTCACTGTCTCAACAGTAATTCAAATATAGTTGAAATTGATGGTGAATATATACATACTTCTAAACGACCTTGACAACAATAAATTCAGTGTTATTTTAAAGGAATTAACAACAAACGAGTGTTCAGCCTTCAGAATTAATGAGGGGATAAACAGGTGGTGCAATAACAGCAATGATAAGTTGTTCAAAGTTTGTAGGTAAATATCAGATAGAAATTAGACAAAATTAGAGGTATGTAGCATATATCATTGCCAACCCCCCCCCAAAAAATGATGGGTAAACGGGAAGATTGAAACAACTTTCAACAATGTTTCAAAATTTCTCTTTTCATTTAAGTGTGCCTTTTCTGTGTCCTTTTGATAATACTATTCTTCAGGTTCTCAAATCCGTCTACTTCATTGGATTCTGGTATATGTTTTGGCCATTCATCAGATCTGGAGTGAAAATCCTATTACAGTCTCCAGCATATAAATCTCACCTACAACAACATCCATCTAAAATATCAATGATTAATGGTAATCTTGAAGTCAGTTTATCATCATTAAAAAAACAATGATTATGATAGAAATGATATTACCATGTATTCATGTGTAGTGTTTACCTCACCATCATGTTTGTGTACAACTCTTTATGTGCGTATGCGTGTGGGTGGGTGGGTGTATGTGATAATTTTGGAGACAAAGAATAACAAACTACTACTGTTTTACCTTGTTTTCAAATTACTGTGCCTTTTCTCAATACCAAGGATCTACTAGAGAGGAAACAAGGTTGATCATCTTTGTATGTATATGTGTGTGTGTGTGTACACTTGTGTTTGGTGATACTCCTCACTTTGTGTCAATTTATTTTCCATTATGGTTGTATTACACGCGCGTACATTTCTACTCTCATTTTTTCCAATACACCGATGAGCTCCTATTAGTAGTATAATAACCAAATGGTAACGCTGTGTATCCACCAACTATGGTTTCAATGAGTACATTTCTGGTGTTTCTTTTGTCTTCTTCTGTAATTATTATTCTGTGTATGGATGCACACATGACCCATTTCATTCATTATTCATTGCCATTATCGTCCTCATTTTCAGTTCTCTGCCACCACCTCTGACCTTTTCAACTATCATTCTTTTCTTTTTTCCTCAATATTTTCCTACTTCTAATATTTGGCGACTTGTTGTTGTTGTTGTTTCTTCTCGTGATAATGTGACTTTTCTAGATCATTATATAGTACCAGCTACTACTATTACAAAGTATTATGACAGTTTTTCACATGTGTATAAAAAATCTTTTCATTGTCAACATTTCGTCTGTTCGCGAGCTTATTCCTGTTAGTCAGCGCTTCGTTGCATACTTTTTGAAGTCTAGCGGCGATTATTATCTACATCTTTGTCATTATTAGTCAGTCAGTCTGTCTGATCGGTGCAGGTTGAACGTAATTGACTTACTTACAGTGTTTGTACTGAATGATGCTAACCTCTCATCGGCGTCGACGTCTTCTTCTTCTTCTTCTACTAGATTGTATTCTCGTTTATTTCTTTGGGGATTCACTGGTATTTACATAAGATGTGAATGTTATGAGTATATCATTATATATATATATATATATATTATGTTTTGTAAGACATGCTTAAAATAAAGTAAAAATTTCTCATTATGTCTACATTCTGTCTAATTCAGTGTAGAACTGACTAATTGTATCCATCTGTTTATCTATGTATATAAGTTATGGGTTCGAGCCTAGCTCCGCCTATGGAATTTCGGGCATTTAGGTGGTATCATTAGCCCTCAAACACACTACGTGTGGTTTACTGCCTACTGCCCCAAAGTGCACAAGAATGTACCAGGTTGGTAGGAGTTATTTATGTATCGTATTTTGCGGGTTAAAAATACTAGTTAGGTCAATGTATACAAAGTGAGACTTTAGTATAAAACCTGTTGATTCAAAAATAGTAATACTAAAACCAGTTATGTCTCGTTGTGGGAATTTCGCCTGCGCATTTCCCACTTTTCGAAAAAATATAGAATAGTGCTGTTTTCTATTCAACAACTACAATCTGAGTTGTTCGACACAATTCAGAAGAATTTTCTCTTTCCACACAATTGCTATAAATGTCAAGTAAGCCTAGTTCTTTAAGGTTTCCAGATTCAAAATTTGAAAATTTCCCTATATCTTCATATCATTGTGATAGATTTTTGTTAGAGGTAGTCGGCAGAAAGACCTTCGTCTAGGTTTCTTGCGTTGTGATGCTGACTCTCCTAATTTGGTGACCGCATTGCAAAATGATCGACAGAATTCAGTCAGCACTCAAGACTAACATGAAACTGGTTTCTCTTCAATGTTCATATCATTGTTTTTAAGACATAATGGATCAATCGTTTTCCGCATCCCTCAGAAAGTGTCGGTAGTGTAAGGAATTGTGAACATCAAACGGGAAATCCATGACTGAATGTCTATTCCACAGTAACAGGTTTCAAATGTTATTCCGCTTTTCTGTGGTAGACTAAAAATATGCAAACCGAACTTCCCACTACGACCGATTGTTTTATTTCCAGTAACCCCAACATGCCATCTTTCAAAAGGACTCTTCAGAAAACTAACATCTGATAGAATCATGCGACCATTATATCATCGAAATTGAAAGAGGGAGAACACACAGCTTATAAGAACTTCACGGAGAAACGGAGAAAATTACTTGATATCCATCGTAAAGAAGAAGAGCTAGCCACGAAACTTTACCAGAAGATCCCTATCCCATACATTACCAACTACAAAGTCATCGACAGAAATCAATAAAGGCATCATCCTTCCATACATAAAGAATATATCAGAAATCATGACAAGATTTCTAAAACCACTTAGTGGGATTGGTGTGGCTCATAAACCAACAAACTCCCTCCAAACACTATTATGTAGATCAAAGGATGCAACAAACAAAGAAGATAAACCGAATATCATTAACAAAATCAACTGAAATAATTATAGTGAACACTACTTTGGACAGAGTGATTACCCTCTTCACTTTCGTTTACATGAACACCAATTGCCTATTAAATGTCACAACATTTCATCACTCATTTCAATGCATGTGGATAACAACTACGAACATGAATTCAACGTTGACAATGTAGAAATTTTTGACAGAGAGAAGAAACACGAAGAATATCATCAGAGAATTCCTTGAAGCTTGGCATTGAGGCCAGTCAGTCAGCAAACAACAGATGTAGAGACACAGGCCCAACCTATCAACCAATGAGAAAAATGATAGACGACAGAGAGGTCAAGCAGAGGAACAGCCAACAGGAAAATCCATGGAGTCAGTCAATGACACAACAATCGTAGGAAACAACCAATCACAGACCACTTCGTCAAGGCAAGCTTCTAAATCACTCATGCAGAGATATTGACAGCTCACTTCATACTGAAGTTAGTTTTGATGATGTCTCCTAGAAAGACGATGAAAGCTTTACGATTAAACAACCCAGCTCAGAGAACACAATACAACGAAGACTATGCACCTGAGCTTCAAATATTCCCCACTATGATGATGCCTTTCGACAATATAGCTGTATTCATCCCAAATAAACCTAAACTGGCTCAGGATGCAATAACTCTCCTTCTCACCAGTGATACCCACCTCTCGGATCACATAACTGCAGTGTCCAAGTATGATAAAATTATTTCATTTATGCCTTAGAACATATCTTCAATTCAACAGAAAACTCTATAAACACACCAATGCTATCGTTGATATTAGGATTAATAATAGAAGCCATAATGGAAATATTGTAAACTGTGATATTGCTGTTGATCAAGCGAAAACTTTGGGTCCGATATGTAGATGACTCTCGTCATCGTGAAGAGAAACTGGTCGGAAAACGCTAACAAATTAATCAGCAACATTTTTTAATAACAAAAAATTCAAAAGTGAAAAAGAGTCAAATAACAGACTTGCATTTTTAGATGTTCTATTCACTAGAACGAATTCGACGAGGTTGGAAACTGAAGTACAGAAAACTAACTCATACGGATACAATCCTCAACTACAATATCAGTAATACACAAAATCAGTTGTATAAAAACATTGTTCATTAGAGCGAAGATACACTGTAGTACATCGACCTTGTGTAGAAAACTATTTAATCACTGTTCCCCAAAACAACGACTATCCATGCAACTTCATGAAAAGATGTTTGCATAGTCTGTCGTCATTCAGGAAGTCAACCTGAAAACCCAACAAACGGACATGAAGAATGTTTCTGAGATTATGACTAGATTATTGAAACTTTTTGAACTCTTATCTCACAAGCCCCTGAAATGCCTTCACCGTCTGTTATGCAGACCAAAAGGTGCAATAGCAAAGGCAGATGAACCAAACATTATCTACAGAGTAAACTCTAAAAAACATATCGGACAGACTGGTCTCTCTTTTGTATCCATCCACATGAACATCAGCTAGCAGTGAAACCTTATGATATATCTTCGTTCATATTAATGCACACGGACAAGTGTGGAGATGAATTTGACTGGGACAATTTGGAAGTTCTAATTAGAAAGAGGGAATACTAGCAGTGACGGAGAATTACTAGATACTTGGTGTTCAGATCAGTGGCAATCAACTGACATTTATCCAATCTACCAATCATTAAGAAATAGGAAGAAAGTTAACTATCAGGACAACCAATGAAAATAAAAATGGTGACAATGATAAGACTTTGGCAGAAACAACCAATCACATACAAGGCGATCAGGACAAGCTACAAAGTTGTTTGTGGAGAAAAGCTTATAGATCGTTTCTTCTGAAGTTAGTGTTGATAAAACTGTCTAGGAGGTCAATGAAAGCTCCATGATTAAGCCATTCAACTCACAGAACACAACACCATCAAGAGGTTGTTTTTTTTAAAAGTCACTCTTTGCCAACAATAGGATGTATTTAGGTGTTTTGTTTTTGTAAGAATATGTACTTCATTCCTTCTGTTATCAATACATCGTCATTTTGTTTTGCTGTATATGTTCACTTTAGACGATTGATGGATTATTCATCTGTGCATTGAATACTGTATACTTCTAGCATAATTTTCATAGATCACTGTATAATTAATGACTGAAATTAGAGCTGAACACAAAAATTAGTCATAATCACAATGGATATAGAAGTAGGAAAAAGTTGTGGACATTTATCAGACGTTATCTCATGCTTATTAAAATTGAGTATGTCCACTTTACTCTTCAAACTGTTTTCTGGTTGATTGAAATGATTTTGTTTACATTGCAAAATGCTTGAACAATCAAACTTATAGAAAAGATGCAAGTAAACAATAATAGTAAAGTAAATAATCACGTTGGTTATACAGATGAATTACTTCACTGATGATTATTTGACTTTTCTGTAATATTATTAACATATCATAACAATTTGGTTCCTACCTAGGCAGCATCTTTTCAACTACAGGTGGTGGCATAGATGAGGACGTTAAAGCAAGGAGCCTAAAAGCAAGACAGGCCTTCATTAATCTGACATCAGTGTGGAGATTTACTGCACTGCACTCCACTGCACTCCACTCAGCATAAAGCGTGAACAACATCCGGATTTCCAACACTAATTCAGTCAAATTAGTGTTTCAATATGGTTCAGAAACTTGGCGTGTCACGAAAAGCATTTCCAACAAACTACAGACATTCATCATGAACAACTGCCTACGCTCGATACTGAAGATCAGATGATCAGAAAGAATAAGCAACAAGGAACTGTGTCAACGAACCAACCAAGAACCTATCGCCCAATAAATATGCAGAAGAAGAGAGAGTGTTCCATCACTGGAAGGAGGTCATCGTTATGCCCATCTTTAAAATGTGTCTACCTAGTATATGTGACAATCATCGGAGTATTGGCTTGTTACCTGTCGTGTCGAAAATATTCACTGGTATCATGTCAAACGCCTAATATTGTTCGGAAATATGACAACTAACTCAATCTTTCTGTCCTACAAAATAACATTCAATATTACCATATACGTAAGTCCAATTAAAGGGAATTCTTAGTCTACTCAATTGGTCGCTGAATAATAAATATATCTGTCTGAGATAAAGAAAGTCACTGATAAGAAGAAAGTTTTCTTTCCCGATGATGTCATTTTCTAAAGCTGTGCAATCGTATTTATTTATATCACAACTATTTATCAGACTATTATTGAATAGTAAGTTATAATTGTGCTAGATAGATTGAGTCAATAGGCAGGAAGTTATCACCACCCTTCAGTCAGGCGTATCTGCAACTTTGACCTAACAGAAGTGCCACCTGAGACTCAAACCCTAATAATCCACTGTCGCAATCAAACGCATTACCACTCAGCTATCTGGACTGAGATTGACCAACTATAATTACTGTATGAGGTACATTGACTGATCATTGAAGAGTTACCAAATTTATGTTTTCTAGGCCTGAGTGCTAATCGAGCTTTCGTAATCACTTCTGTAATGTGACCACTAGGCTAGGACAGTCACATATTCGGTTCAATGTGACAGGTGTTAGTTATGCTTGTGTCACCAACCTGGCTCCACGACTGCCCACAAGCTTTCATTTCTTCCTCACATGATCTCCTCCATGTCGCCCCCAGCTGGGACGCCCCAACTCATCGTTTCCCATTTGGATTCCAC